TGTGTAGCTGTATGTATACGTGGTGCATGCACACGTGAACATCTATGTGCCTGTGAGTGTGGATATGTGTGCAGGCATGTTACAACACATTTGCCTTTGTGTATGTGTGCACTTTGTGTGTCATGTGGGCACTTATACATGTATGCATATGTGCACACACAGGCACACGCACATGTGTCTACAGAGGCATGTTTAGGTGTGTGTGCATGCACTGTCCAGCGGTGGGCACTGCATGAGCCTTGCTGAGGCCCCGTCTCTCTGGTAACTGCTGCCGGGGTGGAGGAGGGGTAGCTCACAGGCCTAGGTGAGCGGGAGCCAGACCCTAGCAGTGCCTGCAGCGAGTGCTTCAGCCGTGACTGAACATCCCTTGCCCCAACTTCACACACTGAAGCCTGGGGTGCAGTGTGTGCTGTGAGGATGTGAGGCCTTTGGGGGATCGGCTCTGGAGGGTGGAACCCCCCTGATGGCCTCAGAAGGGACCCCAGAGAGCTTTCTGCCTCTGGCCATGTGAGGACCTCGAGAAGACAGCACCAGTGACAGGAAAGAACGATGCGGTGCCTGACCCGGGACTCAGCCACTAGGTGAGGAAGAGAGGTCTGCGTGTGAGCCGCCCGCCTGCAGCATTCTTCTTACAGCAGCTGGAGCTCCCAAGACAATGTCGGATGCACCCTGCCGAGCCAGACCACCTGCAACCAGCCTGGACTCACCGACGGGGGTGCAGGCCATGGAGGTGCAGCCCTCTCCCTCTCTGGGGTGTCCACAGTCGTGGGGTAACATCCTCTCCAAACACCAGAGCCTGGGGGCGCAGGGTGGCTTCACAAGCCATGGGATTGGAGGGCACATCCCGGGGACTCAGCTATGAGCATCGCACCTGCAGTGCCGTGTAACCTGAGCCACAGTCAGGGCTGAGCGAGCCCTAGGTGGTCACCCCCCACCCCCCCTTGGCAACCTGGGGCCTTGGCCAGGCTGCTGGGGATGCTCCCATCCTGGGCTCCCCATCCCTGTCCATCTGCACGGCAAAGGCATGTGGGCAGGTCAGGGGACCTGCACTGGGCAGGACCGGGACACAGTGTCCGATCGGACTGGGCAGTGTCCGATATCACCCACTACGTGGTCCTCATTGTGGGCACCAGGGATGTCCCTCTTTTGGCTCCTGCTTCTCCATTTCTCACTACAACATCCATGTCTTCAAAATTGCTCAGGCCTCTGACAACATCCTTCAAACCTTTGCACCTGCATCCTCCAGTGACAGGAGGGCTGAGACACGACGGGAGACAGACCATCAAGGAGGCTGCGCTTCCCAGGGAGGGGTCGAAGGCAGCCTGCCTTGTCCACTCTCAGGGTCCCCTGTTCCTGCTCAATCCCTTTGCCCCCTGGCTTCTGGGCCATTCTCTGCCCGCCCCCCGCCCCCCATCCTGGCTGCTCAGCTGGACCCCGGGAGCTGGCCCCTCTCTGGTGGGACCTAGGGTTTCTTTACAAGTTTGGAGCAGGGCAGACGAGGAGCCAGAGTTGGTTTCAAGGATGTTTAAGCCTTGCCTCCTTCAGCCAAATGCAGTGATTTCCTTGGACTGAGAAATCAGTCCATCTTTTCAAATTCCGTTGAGCTCTGGGAAGGCTCAGACCAGACCTGGACAGGGTGAAGTCCAGCGGGTGAGCAAAGACAATGGGGCTCAGCCTGCACCCCTCACAGGGGTCTGCAGGGGGTGGGGGGCAGACAAACAGGAAGACTGACTTGGTTCGTTTCCTGATAAAGAGAATGGGGCTTGGATAAGAAAGTTCAAGTTTGGATAAGATGGCAGAGGAGGGACCCATGCCTGCGTGCTGGCCTGGAACACACCCTTCCACCCAGGGGGTCAGTGGTCCTGCTGAGACAGGCTGCTGGGCTGTGCCCCATTTCTGGGCCACAGTGAGTGGGGATCCAGCTCGGCCCACACGCACCACGCAGGGCACCCCACCTCCCTGCCATAGCGCTAATGCAGAGGTTGATAACAGCTGCCTGTCACTCATAAAACACACCTCGCCATTCTGCCAAGCCAGGAGCCATCCTGGAGCTCAGCCAAGAAATGGCCTATAAAAGTCTGAATAATGACCTCCACGCTGACTCTCCGCACAAATGATAATCCAGGCAGCTGTTTGCAGGCCTCTCTGTGTGGTCACCCGGCTCCATATTGACGCCTCTCGGCAGCTCCTCCCATCAGCAGCACTGAAGTGTGGAGGCGGCTCCAGTGTGGGGGGCTCAGCCTGTCCCTCCAGGTGGCAGGTGGCAGCACTGGGCTCAGGACATTCACACACCTGCACACAGGGCCCTGCACGCTCTCCTGTCCTGTCCGCTTGGTTCTGTGCTAACAGGGAGAAGGAGGGTAGACACCCTCCTGGCCACAGCCCAGGGCAGAGCCTGGAGCCTGCAGAGCACAGACCTGCAGCGCGAGGCACAGGTGGCGTCCTCAGCCTCAGCGCGACTGCACCACCCAAAGCGGCAGGGCACCCCCTGCCCCTCAGCACAGCTGCAACCCCAGGGGTAGCCCCACGCCCCCCACCCCTGACTTATCAGCATGAATTTTTTTGTTCTGGACACAGAAATTTGAGGGTTCTGAATAAGATGTTTTGCGATAATATACTCTCATTTGAACCTTGCACTGGCCTCTATCAAATCTTACTTTCTAATATTCACATTTTCACTCCAATCACAAGCCTATAGATTATGTTCATGCATAAAATAATGCTTGGTGAATGCCTTTTAATGTTACAAAACGCCACCTTCTAAAATTACTCCCCTCT